GGGATGTGTCTGGGGAGATGTTTGGCCATGGGGCAGGTGGGATCCATGTTCCCATCCCCATTCCTGGTGTTTCCCTGCATGAGGAGGTGCTCCAGGCACCTGATTTCCACAGAGCTGAATAATGGAGCTCTTATCAGCTCACCCTGACTGGGTTGCAGTGTTCTGAGGGAGATGTTGAAGCACCTTTGCCCAGGGATGTGTTTGGGGAGGATATATGGCCATGGGTGCCATGTTGCCATGCCCTGTTTCCCTGCAGGTGCACCAGGCACCTGATTTCCACAGAGCTGAACACTGGAGCTCACCGTGACTGGGTTGAAGTGTTCTGAGGGAAATGTTGAAGCTCCTTTGCCAGGGGTTGTGTCTGGGGAGGTGTTTGGCCATGGGGCAGGTGGGTGCCATGTTCCCCTGCCCAGGAGGAGGTGCACCAGGCACCTGATTTCCACAGAGCTGAATAACGGAGCTTTTATCAGCTCACCCTGACTGGGTTGCAGTGTTCTGAGGGAGATGTCGAAGCTCCTTTGCCCAGGGATGTGTCTGGGGAGATGTTTGGCCATGGATGCCATGTTCCTATGCCCATTCCTGTTTCCCTGCATGAGGAGGTGCTCCAGACACCTGATTTCCACAGAGCTCAACAATGGAGCTTTTACCAGCTCACCCTGACTGGGTTGAAGTGTTCTGAGGGAGATGTTGAAGCTCCTTTGCCCAGGGATGTGCTTGGGGAGGATATATGGCCATGGGTGCCATGTTGCCATGCCCATTCCTGTTTCCCTGCAGGTGCTCTAGGCCTCTGATTTCCACAGAGCTGAATACTGGAGCTCACCCTGACTGGGTTGAAGTGTTCTGAGGGAAATGTTGAAGCTCCTTTGCCAGGGGATGTGTCTGGGGAGATGTTTGGCCATGGGGCAGGTGGGATCCATGTTCCCATCCCCATTCCTGGTGTTTCCCTGCAGGAGGAGGTGCTCCAGGCACCTGATTTCCCCAGCTCTGAACCACTGGCACTTTTACACATCACCCTGACTTGGTTGAAGTGTTCTGAGGGAGATGTGGAAGTTCCTTTGCCCAGGGGATGTGTCTGGGGGGATGTTTGGCCATGGAGTGGGTGCCATGTTGCCATGCCATGTTTCCCTGCTGGAAGAGGTGCACCAGGGCACCTGACTTCCACAGAGCTCAACAATCAAACTTTTACCAGCTCACCCTGACTTGTTTGAAGTGTTCTGAGGGAAATGTTGAAGCTCCTTTGCCCAGGGCTGTGTCTGGGGATATGTTTGGCCATGGATGCCATGTTCCCATGCCCATTCCTGTTTCTCTGCATGAGGAGGTGCTCCAGGCACCTGATTTCCACAGAGCTGAGCAATGGAGCTCACCCTGACTGGGTTGAAGTGTTCTGAGGGAGATGTTGAAGCACCTTTGCCCAGGGATGTGTCTGGGGAGATGTTTGGCCATGGGGCAGGTGGGATGGGATCCATGTTCCCATCCCCATTCCTGGTGTTTCCCTGCAGGTGGAGGTGCACCAGACACCTGATTTCCACAGAGCTGAACCACTGGCACTTTTACACATCACCCTGACTTGGCTGAAGTGTTCTGAGGGAGATGTGGAAGTTCCTTTGCCCAGGGGATGTGTCTGGGGGGACGTTTGGCCATGGGGTGGGTGCCATGTTGCCATGCCATGTTTCCCTGCTGGAAGAGGTGCACCAGGGCACCTGATTTCCACAGAGCTCAACAATCAAACTTTTAC